ACATTTAATAAAAATCCGTTAAACCGTTTACAAACTAACAAACATCTATCCATCCACCTAAACTATCGCATTTATAATATTAGTAAGTTTTATTAAATATTTACGCATGTAAATATTACAAACATGCTGTTACTCGCGACTTTACCCGCGTGATTTTTAGAAATATAAGAAGATTACCTTTCTAACGGTGTAAGAATTTTTAAAATCGACCCAGTATTTGAGTTATTTCAATCAATACAAATCTTTCCTCTTTATAACATTAGATTATGTAAATATGTAAGCAGTCCTCATAGAAGCTACTGGAATGCGTTACTGGCACTATGTTAGCCCGTGCATTTTATTATCAACAAATATTATTATTTAACAAGAACGTGCTGATTGTTTAACATTGCGGTGACATTGTAAATAAATTAATGTCATATCGCTACCATGATAATGAGCCACTAGATAATTGTGTACAATTTCTAACGTGTTTTAATTTAATTAAAACTGTTGTATACCGCTTTGTTAATTAGTTACACATAGTTACGGCGGTAATGAAAAGGAGTGGGGTAATTATATGGTATATTTTGGTGGGATTTTGTGCCTCTTCAACATTCATATCATATATCTGGTAACCAAGTTGTAACCCTATTTTTAACCGACTTCCCAAAAGAAGGAGGTACTCAATTCGTCTGTATGTTTTTTTATTGTCTGGCTGATGTCGTAAGTCGTAACGGTGTTTCATGATAAAAGAGGCATTTATTTATCTAAAATATAAACCAACTAAAGATATTGAATAATAACCACATCGTTTCGATTAAAATAATCAACTTAAAAGTAGACCGTAAATTAAACTTTGCTATTTAAAAAGTGGCAGGCGCTAATAAATGTAAATAGTTATTCTAAGTTACTTATCTGTGAAGTAAGGTATTTTTCATGCATATAAGGCTTTGTGGCGGAATATTTTAAATAATTCTTTCTTTAATAAAAAGCTCTACACTTACTTCACGCTATAGGTTATATATTTTCACGCCAATTAACTTAAGGGGTAAATAAATTGGATAAAAACCCTAATGTGGGAAAAGGACCATAAGCTACAAGCTGCCAACATCAAGGAAGTAAGATTGCCATGGTATGTCATCATGTCATGTCATTTGGACAATTTCAATTGATAATTTGACACATGTAAATAATAAAATAAAATTTTCATAAATTCATGCGGATGAAGTCGCGCGGGAACAGCTTGTATTTAATAACATAGATGTTTGATAGTTTTATTGCCGATTTTTTGATAAGGTAACGTTTATTATCTGAGTTTTCGCACATTGAAAAATTCGGGTCATATTCTATCTAATCAAATTGTCAGAATACTTGATATTTGCTAAAATGTATCATAATTTTGCCAACGCATACTTAGGAAATAATACAGGGAAAGTTTAAAATATTATTAAAGTAATCAGTTGAACTTTAACTTTACACATAAGAGAATAAAAATAAACATACATATTACTGATTTTACAAGTTTCTTTAAATTGAAGCAATTACTTTAAAAACATGTAAAGATAATCCAAACTGTTCAACAAATCAAGTCATCTTGGAGAAGAGCTATAAATGTCTTGAATAAATTACTCACAAGAAATGTAATGAAACATGACATACAAAAACAAACGATACGAGAAACACATGTTTACTCTCTTTGATGTAATTTCCATATAAAAAGAAAGAGAAACAATCACTAAGTACAAATTTGTTTATAGACTGTTAAGTTATCTGACCCGGTATGTATAAGAGCGTGCCCACACCTGAAACTAAACTATCGCAAAATTGTTTAGTCGCTCTTTGATTCCTGTGAGCTTATCCATTGTGACTTACCGTACAACTAAACAGATGAATTGGCTGCAAAACAGTCGACAATCGCACAACAGTTCTGCGATAGTTTAGTCAAAGATGTGCGAGCGCTCGTGAAATGAAATTATAACAGCTCCCTATCGACCTCATTTTGTCATTTTAATGTCTATATTCGTTTTATATATTTTCTGACTTATACCAATCGATCTGTGCTTACCTTGTTTCACTATAATATAAGGTGGCAAACGAGCAAGCGGCCACCTGAATCCGCCAAAATGGCGAGGGACCGCTGCCCATAGACATCCGCAATTGCAGATGCGTTGCCTACCCTTATCCTATAGAGGAGGAGATGCACATAAAGAGGATATTTCCCATTCCTATGTATCACCTCCTCCGTCAAATCCACTTCCCCTTCCCAACCTCTCCTTATAAGAAGAGGGTGCTAAAGAGAAAATGACTTAAATTAGGCCTCCTCCTCCTATAATACTAGTATAAACTCTATAAAACTATTTAATTGTTTAACATAGCCTGATAAGCATTTAGTGACACAACTGAACGAAAACATGGCAACTATTTATACTTTGTGTCATATCAAAACGTTTTGCTAGTGGTAAATTAAATTGTAACATATCAATAAACAACAAGCAACGTTATACAACTTGTACGACTTGCGAATTGACGCAGATATGAATGGAAGTAGCACAAAGGTTATCTCAGGGCAACCAGGAATGATAGTCACTACTAAGAAGTAATTTAAATGACAACTAAATTACGATAACCTCTCTATTTATACAACAAACATTTAACAGCACTCAGAGTCGTAAATTGCCTACTAAGAGGACTCTTGGTGTAAACACTAAAAGAAATTTAATTACTAAATCAATAGTTTTGTCAGAGAAATTAAATTGGAAATGAAAACCTTTTACACTTTGATCTCGTAAATGAAGGTATTATAGGTTATTTTTTATGTAAACGCTGAAAAGAATATAACAGGGCAATTTATTTATATTTGCAATACATATGCTTCTATAAGAGGATTACGAAGTTCCGAAGATCATTTATAAATGGTCAGAAAACAATTATTTATCTGTATAAATTGGAAACAAATTACCAATAATCCCATTCGAAATAAATTCCACGCGACAGGCACATTGTGAGTAAAATTTTATTTATTTTTACGTTTTGTTTTATATTACAGGTCGCAGTAGTATCTTATTTATTTAATCTATCCATTATTATACTTCATCTAATAATAAGTAATTAAAGATACTTTAGTATCGATCTTAAAGATCAGTGATTGAATTTTGCCGTTACTGCAATATTATTAACGTATTGTTTAGAAAATTATCCACTGAGTGCTGGAGCAAGTGTTATGAACTCAATAAATAAGTCAGTCACTTGTATCGGGTTAAAGATAACTGTATCAAGACTTATCAATAATGTATAATCGACATTATACTACTAGCTTTCGCCCGCGACTCCGTAGTTAAGTGGATGTGTTCTTCCCGACTATCCTCTACTTTTATGTCAAATTTTATGGTGATCCGTTCAGCACTTTAGCTACAAACTCTAACAAACATCCATCCATCTAAACTTTCGCATTAATAATATGAGAGAGACCTTCTCAGACCTCTACAGACCGTGAGGTTCATGATTAATGTAGTAAAGAATTAAATTCGCTTACTGATTTTTATTGTCTAGCAAACTGTCACTATAAATTTTCGCTCTTATTGCATCGAGGACTTCAAGTACGTACAAAAAATGTAGAAAAATAAACGTCCTCAACTGGACTTTAAGCATTGTAGAATTATTTTTTACAATAAATTAATTATTACTAGACCTAGAAATGATAGAAATCTAACGATATTAAGAGCCAAGTAATGTTGCCTTACTGCATAGCAACAGAAACTCCTATGTGTGTAAAAAGTGTTTTCCACACAGGCAACATTGTTTACTACTTAAGGCAGATTGTAAGCCAATAACAAGTAAACAGAAAGGCGCTCTCTATATTTTGTTACACTGTACGTAAAAAATGTTATAAACTGCACAGTCTTTTGTAAAATTCTCATCAAATTTAAATGTTGATTTTAAATTAAGAAGATATAACCTGTAAAGTAACTGTTAAGAATAATAGAGAAATAGGGACAAAATAAATCTCACCTCGAGGACATGAACACTATATTTTCACTTGGCAGAATGACAGTTAGAATGAACAAATGTAGATTAAAAAACAAAAACTTAATTATACCATAGATTATAAATTTACTCAATTACAACAGTAACATTTATTAATTTGTTTTTTATTCCAATAGAATTTTTTAATTAAAAAATGTCTTTCAATAAACTAAAAGTTTAAGCGCAGTTGCAAGGCCGGGGGCGACGCTGTCTAAATGAAAACTGAGCTCTTCCGTACTTTCTAAAGTTTTTCACTTTGTTACAAAAGTCGTAGCCTTGAGAGAAAAATTGTGAAGTCTGAGGCTATTTTAAAAGACGCCAAGGGATGTAAGCTATGCGCTCTTTGTTTGCTTTTAGTCACATTTAGTTTTAATATTTTATTACAGAAGTCATACAATAACAAATAATATATTTCTTGTTGAAGATTAGGAATATAAGACACGCATTGTACCATAACTGACTGAGAAACTGCCGAATACTGAAACGAACAGCGTCTTAAATAATAAGGTCACGCTTAAACTCATGATTCCTTGCGGATTTTGACGTCTTTTATATTGTAAGCGGCGCTTACGAAGCTAGGTGTTTAAAATTCGTTTCAATACTTGGCCAAAAAGTCTAGAATCAAGGTCTAATATTTCAGTATCTACAATAAAAATAGCAGATTAACATTGATCAAACGATTTACTAAGAATTTGTATAATGTTTTAAATGTTTCTAATGACTGGTTAAAACAGCAAAAACAATTTCTTAACTCGTAGTTAATTTTCCTTAGAAAGTTAACAATTCTAAGGAAATATCACTGAGAGATTTCTATTTATGGCACTAACAGATGTATTCCAGATAATCTAATACAAGCCTACGAATTGGAGGATTGATTTAGTTTCCAGAATATCCGCTAGAGGGTATTAATAAAACATTAGTCAGTTCGGTCACCGCTTTCAGAGAAGTTTCGATTAAACGACCCAGTTTTAAAAGGAATGTTTTCTTTATTCCAGATGTTTTTCGAGTTTCAACGACCTGCAACCAGCGGAAGTCAACCATCAAGAGCCACCAAAGTCTTATAGGTATGTGGTTTTGAACAATTTTTTTTATGAAATATGAGCTGTTATCCAAAAGCAATCTCACTAATATTATAAATGCGAAAGTTTAGATGAATGGATAGATGGATGGATGGATAGATGGATGGATGGATGTTTGTTAGAGTTTGTAGCCTAAACGGCTAAACGGATCTCGATGAAATTTGGTGTAGATGTACAGGATAGTCTGGAAGCACACATAGGCTACTTACTCACTTTCAGTTTTTTTAAATCCACGTGGACGGAGTCGCGGGCGAAAGCTAGTATAATATAAATGATTAAAAAACTAAGACTGATTTACAAGGTAACGGTTTTAAGATAAACAATTTAATTATACCAGTCTCCATCTTTTCTTGATTTTTCATTGTTTATTTAATTTTATCTACGAATACGTGAGTTAATTAATAAAACAACACGATAACGCGGTTTTTTTACTTTAATTTTTCTCCATTGTTGCTTCTAAAAAGCTTTCAAAGGAAAAATTCGTTAAATCCAATAACCTTTTAACTAAGTGCTCTACTAACAATATTTTACGGTTTATATTGCCTTGTTTTGACAGAATGAGCGCTTTGATTTTTCATGATAAGCGACCTCGATTTTATATGTACTAGTTTAAGGAAACATATTATTTACAAAGTGAACAAGTGCATATATTATATCATACATCAATGCTTTCAAAACTCCTAAATATCAAATTATCGAGACATATTGGGTGTCAAATACTTCGACGAGTGTGAAACAAAAGAAACCCATCTACTGTGACCTAGAAGTGACGTGACCGTAAACAGTATGCCTTCTGCATGTGGCTTTATTTGTGTACATATTTTACTTCTTACTATCTTATTAATATTATATAATTTTTTATAATATAAGGTGGCAAACGAGCACGAAGCCACCTGAATCCACCGACATGGAAAGCGACCGCTGCCCATAAACATCCGCAATTGTAGATGCGTTGCCTACCCAACATTGACGGAGGAGACGCACAAAAAGAGGACATTTCCCCTTCTTATGCGTTTCCTCCACCGCATAATCCACTTTTCCTTCCCATCCTTTTCTCTTAAGAAAAGGGTGGAAAGTAATAGGGACTAAAGTTAGGCCTCCGGCTCCACACTCATCAGACAAAACGCGGAATTGCTACCACTTCACGTCTGTGTGGTCGTGGTATTATACCGGGCATGCCGGCCCATTCGTGCGAAGATGTTAAAGATATTATTGGAAAATGACATTTATGTAAAGAGCACTTCTTACGCATTTCTTTCTCGGTTACGAGAGTCTGAATCATGAATTCTGAAGAATTTTCCGCGTTTCATACAAACTATTCACAGTTTTTACTGTGATGCGATGTTTATTTTGGTATCACTGACAATGTTTCCAAAATTAATCGGAATAAGAGCTTTCAATGAAAGTCGAGGAAAACAAATTTCTTGAAAAAATACGTCTGAATTATTTTTTAATTACTAATTAAAATTTGGTAAATACTAATGTAAATAAAATAGGAACTACAAGACATTGACCGCGGTTTTGGATATTTTAGATTATTTTAGTTAAGATTTATGAATATATCTACGATCTCTTTGGTATCCCTTTAGCGATCTCCCTTGCTTACTTTGTAAGTCACTAATTTTATTGAAGTAAGTAATGTTCGCGTTTATATAAATTAAACGTATTATGATACTATAGAATTCGTGAAGACTCTCAAAATATATCGTCCCAGTCCCAGCTGGCATATATTCAAGTTTAAATGGACTTTGTGCTCGCTAACCTCTATTGTCAAACATTGTCAACGAACTGTTTTGTATAGCACAGGTTATAAATTTGGGTTGCCACTGTTAAAATATTGGCATCCTTTTCTTAATCTTTGAGAAAATAGAGACAACAAAACAGATTCAGGGGTGGAATTTCAGAGTGAAAATCTCAATCACCTTTGTAACCAGTAGTGCTAAAAGTATTCCAAGCTCTGCAAGTATACTCTTCTAACAGAAATAAAAATTAGTTGTACACTGAATTGGCTCTGTTTTATAATAAAAATGAATGAGTAATATTTAAAATTATAGCGTTTACTCGGGACTTTGTCCGCGCGGAATTACAACTTGTTCGCAATCGAAATCAGTCAGCCGTTCTAGAGCAACAGACATTTATATATTCAAACTTTGGCTTTTAAAATAATAAATATACATCAAGTTAAAGTATGAAGTACATATAAAAGTTTGATCTAAGGCGCATATTGCATTTGACTGTAACACTGTCATAAATAAAAAATTAGAAATTCGCAATTGTATACGTAATCAATGTGCTATTTTGAGTTGAATCGATGTTTGTTTATCAATTGTTTTGCAGATGACTTGACCAAATTAGTAACAAAAAATATATATGCATGGGGTAATATTATAATAGTTTTGTTCAAAAGAATGTTGGCGTAATTACAACAGTCATTATAAACTAATTCCAATAATATGCGATGATCAGTATTCACGTTTTCATTACTCGAACACCGTTAATTATGAAAAAAAGTTATGAAATACATTTAGAAATTGTCTTTTCGCGCCTATTACCCTGAGGGCGCTGACACAGAAAATTACTTGACGTTTTTAAAGCACAGCCTTTTTATGAAATCTAGAACGCGGAAAGAAAAGAAAGAATAAGCTCTTTGTTTACGCACGTTTGTATATTTGAATGCTTTATTTCCAACCTCTTGACATAGTTTCTTAATGATAATGAATATTTCAAATTTTACTCCTACGCTAGCTTTATGCTTTATCAAGTGATAAATGTATTTCGAAGCTATGGGTAATTAGGACCACGTGTGTATACTGTTATTTCCTTCAAACATATAACCGGAGACTGTAAATATAAATGAGTATATGAGAGCCAGGTTGAGAGTAGCCCTAGTGGAAGAGAAAGTAAGGAATAAAAGGTTAGCATGGTATGTTATGAGGAGGGATGAATCGCATGTTACAAGGAGAACGTTAGTTATGAGTGTGGAAGGGTACATCGGTAGAGGTAGACCTAGAAAGAGATGGATGGATTGTGTAAAAGGTGATATGATCAAAAAGGGAGTGATGACTGAGATGACGTATGATAGAGTTATGTAGAGGACAAAAACCTGTTGCGCCGACCCTACGGGAGTAGGATAAGGAGATGATGATAAGATATATGTTTACTCTACTCCTCCACTTATAAGTGGAGATCCTCAAAGTTCAGTGTGTTCGTTAATTTGATAGCAAGGCGTAAGATTAAACGATTCAATGAAAACTAGAGCAAGCTGACGAAACATGTTTGAAGCCGGGAGTCAGTAACCTCACTTGTAAATATAGATTTGGCTCGTTACAGGGAACATGATTCTGGAGGGTTTTTAATGTTTAAAATATACATGCAGTGTTACAATTTGTCCTTTGTTACTGTTATGTTACGCCTACACTTAACAAAATTTTGCACTAGTCACGATATAAAAGTGTTTACATATGTTTAAGGTACTATGTATTTGAAACATTGTCAAAAAACCTAAAATCTATGGTCTCAGCTTTTCTTCAAACTAAGACGTCATATGTGTGAAGAAAACCAACCAGCATGCCAGCGTAGTTACAGGTTTACTCACCCCTAACTGAGGGTAGACTTCGAGACCCTCAATGGGCTATGATGAGCTAATGATGAAATACTCGTAAATAGAGAGCTGCTGAATTCAAGAAAGGTAAATACGAAATGATTCTGTTAAATTGTTTGATTTTTGGTAGTCGCACATTACGGTTGCACGGCATCCATATGTATTCAATTTAAAATTCGAAACACGGAACAACCGGTCCGAAGTTTACTTTTCTTATTTCAATCGTGACGGTTCCCTCAAGATTGTGTTAAATTTCTTATAACTCTTGTTAAAGGGTGCTACTAAATAACATGTACAAAATATTAACAATGTTAATGCACATAATGAAGTAATATATTGTGTTTCTCTTAATACTCTCGTATATTAATTACAAATACAGGAAAAAAGTGCAATAAGTGTGAAAATAAAATGATAATTAAATAAATATTATCCTTATATTATTTTTATAATGTTGTTTGTGTATCTCAATCAATGTTTGTCTGAAAGATTTTAAAATAAAGATCATAATAATCCAATTTACTGCCTCGAATTAACTCCAAACGAAATAAAGACACGAAGCATTGCTCATCTAATTATTATAATAACTCTACATAAAAAGTTAACGAACTGAAATTAGCTGTACGTCAGTTTTATGACCTATTTGACCCAGTAACAAAGCGTTACCTGCACGCGATAGTTCTGCTATTAAAGTGGCCACAAAAAATATACGAAACAGTCTAGTCTAAATAAAAGGCTTAAAAACCAGGACTCCAACTACGCCTTTTGAATCCTAAAGGGTGTAACGGTCCATAATTAAGCTTCCCGCACCACAATCGCGAATCCGAAACATAGTACTTCCACATCACACCTGTCTTCCGATCGTAATGATGCACCTGTCGAGTGAACCATTAGTGCATCGGCTCTACCATTGTTAAAAACTGTGCAAACAAAATGAAAGTCTGTATAACATAAATACAAAACAAAAACCAAAACTTTGCCATAATACTGATCGCTTTCCTATAAAATTGTTACTTCAGTCACCACGCAGCATACAAAATCTGTGGAGTCCACGAAATCGCGAGAATACGCCTGCTTTCTAATGCAAGCCAACCCCGCGACCTAAACAATTGTGGAATCAACAAACAATTAAAATTGTACTTTATTTCTTATGGGTTACGGATCAGTCGTAAACCACTGAAAATTTAAGTTACTGCCATTGAAAAATGAGCCTTATCCAGCTGGTTCACAGTTGTTATTCCTATGTACAGCGCACATGATACGCATAATTTTACTCGACTCGACTGTCGTTCCTCCACTCGACTCTGTTTTAGTTTTAGTCGCTCGAAAGCAGCGGATGAGTGAGGTGGTGTTGCCGTATTATTTATCGAATAACGAATTTTACGCG